AAAAAAAAATAAATAAATAAATAATAAGGTAAAAAAAAAAAAAACCTCTTCTCCTAGTGCAGCCAACAAACTCTTTTTGCAGATGCAATCTCTTCTTCACAGAGTTCCTTCTTAAGATCTCAAGATGGCTGGTGAAACATGGAGGGCAAACTTGTAAAAAAAAAATTTTGGTATTCTGCTGAGGACAATTCTTCCTTTAAAATAAAAGGACACTATGCAAAAAAGGGATTTCTTTTAAACTTTTCTTGTCAGAAATTTACCTTCCTGTGCTCCTGTTGTCATGCTATACTTAGACTCCTCCCCTCTCTTTTTTTTTTTTAATTTCACAGCCTTTACCTATTCCAACAGCAAATTAAGTTGGATCTATCGCCAACATACCCAAAGTCCAGACATGTCCCAGAGTGTCTACCATCCCTCCCTACTCCAAGTCACCAGAGGCTCCTGCCCAGATGTCCAAATATCTGTCCTTCACACAGCAGCATGTGTGATTGTTAGAAAACATAAGTCAGTTTATGCTGCTCCCCAGATCAAAAGGCTCTGCCTACTCTATACATCTTTCAAAATAAAACAGGATTGTCAATAAGGTTCTACACAATCTGACCCAGCTCCTTCTTCAGGCCTGTCCTGTGTCTCTCTTTCCTCATTCTTGCCATTCCATTCTGCACCATCAAATTGTACCCATTGTCAAGTTTTTGCCTTTATCTTCTTCTGCCTGGGTTGCTGATTCTCTAGACATTTGCATTGCTAACCCCTTAGTTTGCTCAAGTTTCAGCTCAAATCCTGCCTTCTTTAAGACTAGACTGACTAGAGTATCTAAAATAACACTAACCATTCCTTTATTCTCCTTTATCCTGCTTCAGTCTTCTTTTCAACTCTATCAACTATATTATTGATTTGTTTGCTATTTAGCTTTCTCTTTTCCATCCACTGTGCTAAAAAATAACTGAAGTGTAAAAATAAGAGCATGAATTTCGATGGTTTGATTCTCTGCTTTTACCCACTGTGTCTACAAAGTTTCTTAGCATGTAATAGGTGCTTGGTGAACATGCTAAGTGAAGAAATGTAAGTTAGGAGTTGTATTAATATATTTTGCATTATTATAACAAAATGCTTGAGGTATGAACTTCTCAAAGATAAAAGATTCATTTAGCCCACAGTGTGGGAGCTTCAAGGCTATGGTGCTTGCATTAGCTCAGTTCTGATAAAGACTTAATGGCAAATGGGAACTCGTCACGCAGGACCACCTGTCACAGTGAGCACATTTCAGACCAGGAAGCTGAGAAGATGACAGGTTTCATACAACCCCTTCTGAAGGCATGCCCCCAGTGAGCAAAGGACTTCCCACTAAACTCTACCTCTTCAAGGTCCTTACCACAGCTTGAGGACCAAGTTCCCAACCCATTTGCAGGGGACATGGAACATATTTTAAACCAGAGCATGAGTAACTTCTGGGCTTTTAGAAGTGTATCCTTTGCTAATATCAGTCACAATCTTGGCTCAGGAATCTGTTGATGTCCTTCTACAATGAGAACAAGTGCAGGGAAGAGGGAGTAAATAATTCCACAGAGCATGAAGCAATAGAAATCACACTGTGATACAGACCTACAAAATGCTAGCTTCTAAGAGACTGTGGAAGCCACATCACTGGACAGAGCCTATTCTCAATTAAGCACTAGTGGCACTTGCATATACTAGGTATGTAAAAGAAAAATGAGGCTAACGCCATGATGAATTTCTAAACTTGACCAGTTATACATGAAAAGAGCAAAACCTCAAATACCACTCGTCCTGTAAAAAGAGACAGAAGTCACAGGTGGAGTATTCACCCACACTACCATGTTGAAATAACAGTGCCATATTTAACTTATTGATGGGACATTTTTCCCAAGTAAGCTCAAGTTCATAGGCCACAGATTCCACATATCTGGTTTAGATTTTTCTCCATCTGTCTTGCTTCACTTGGATTCTGTGCATTTCTGTTATGGTTTTGGTAATACTAAGTCTTATGTGTATCAATAGCAATTTGCTTAACATATCTGCTCTAAGAACAAGAGATTAAATGTGGTAGCATCTTTTGCATAATTTTTTGTGTCATACACATCTACTGTACTTTGTTAAAGTGAGAGATATCAGATATTGTTGTCAAACTAACAAATCTGTCCAGGCATTGTTGCTGAAGGAGTTCTAGCTCACGGAAGTACCAGAACTCCTCTTGTTGAGACAGAGAAGACTATGGAATAATGAAAGAATATAGTAGCCCCCAAATGGAAGCTTTTGAATTTTGATTCCTTTGGATTCATTTAAAAGAGAAAGATAACAATTACAGACTTTAATTCCTTTGGACCTCAACTTATTTTGACTTTAATGTACAAAAAGATTTCATTTTTGTAGTTCAGTTTCTCCTTACGTAATTGTCAATAGAGGAAGAGTTATATTCAAATGAGGGACATTTCTATATTATTGGGATTTTATTCTATAAATGAATTTTTATATTATATTATCAAATACTCAACGTGTCATTTATTTTCACTGAAGAATCTTTAGCAGGATAAATTAGATAATATGACAGACATAATTGAAATGGTAAAAAGAAAGAGGAATTATTTTCCAGACCTGGTTAAAAAGAAAAAGGTCTTGGAGGTGATTTAATTAATATGATATTTGTTTTTACCCATTTTGCAAATCATTGGGGACAAAAATCTAAATTTTGTCCCGCTGGTGCTGAGAAGATACACAAGAAGGAGTGATTGGCTGTGAGAGGATGATCTTTTGAGAGACAATCTGTGTTAGTCAGCTTGCCATTACTATAAAGAAATACTTGACACAAGATATGCATGAAGAAAAGGGACTTATTAAATTTGTGGTTCTACAAGCTAAAAGTTCCAATGGTATAAGAAGGTTATATGGTAAGGGTATAACCTACCTATTGGGTATATTACCTCATGACATGGATAGCAATCATGGGAGCAAGCAAGTGATTAGATCTCCAACCAGGAGCAGCAAGAAAGACTGGGGTCCCCCATCCCTTCTGAATACACACCTCCAATGATCTAAGGATCTCCTGCTAATCACCACCTCTTAAAAATCTAGACCATTTTCCAATACCACCATCAGGGGGATCACATTCCCTACAAACATTTCAGGGGACGCAAATATTATTCAAACCATAGACTGTTCCAGTAGATAGCTGATGAGATCTCATCAGCTGTCTACTGATTCTAACCCCATCTTCATCATAAACAAATGGTTATGTATTGACTTAAAAATTGATTCCAAAATAAGTGATTCAAACTCAACCTTCATCATAAACAAATGGTTATATATTGACTTAAAAATTATCTGGGGAATGATGTGTTTGTGTGGGAAGGACCAGTCCTTCTTTTCTAATCCTTCATGTTAGTTAAATGTGGAGTGGAATAATAATCTTGGTTGACGTGCATCCCTTCCTTGTTTCTCTTATATAATAGAAATTGTCTAGTTTGGTAGAAATTGGAACAAGGTTCTTGAATGGAGAAATACACACTTCAGCCTCTTCCCTCTGACTTCTTCTTTGGTGCTAACTGCCAGAATGAAGTGTGTCATTCTGTCCTGCCCATCCATATTGTAAATTTTACAGGGAAACTCCCGTAGTGTAGAGCTGATGTTTTTAATTTGATAAAACAAAGAACTAGGAAAGTCCTAACTGACTGTTTAAAATGATGTGGAACTTACCTCCGCAATGCTTGAGGTATCTTCAACTCTTACCTGTAGCTATGGGACTGTTTTAGCTCCACGGCTACACTTAATTTACCCCACTGTGTTACAGAATGTTTAATCTCTACATCTCCAGATCTTTGGCATTTCTAATAAATCATGGTTTTTACAACTATTCTTGGTCTCATAATTGATGAGTACTGTTGGTCAAACCCTCCTGATATCTCTAGGTTCAGAAAGCAGAGGCAAGAACTATTTCCCAGGAAGTGAATTTGAATTCATCAAGGCCCTTACTTAGTCTATCACCATCCACATATAGAGACATCTTGTAGCTTCTTTGTGCTGTATGGAAATGAACCAATCCCTAAGCATGATGGCTCCTCCACTTTGGAAAATTTTAGCCCAGAGAAGATTATGAGGAAGATGCTGTCTATCTTCAAGAATTTAGGAAAAGTTTGTAGATTCCTTGCTCCAAAGAGCTCCAAAAGAAGAATAAATGAGTGGAAATCACAAGCTGGAATACTTTTATTTAAGTAAAAATTAACTTTCCTACAATTACCACTGTCTTACCATGAAATGAACTACCTCAGTAATAGTAAACTGCCTTGGATCACCTCATGGTGATATCATCCAAAGAATTCCCACTCAGGCTACAGAGTCAGACCAAATACAGTTAAACCATGAAAATTATGGATCCATGAGAATTTTCCCCATAAGCAAAACACAAGGAAATTTGAATTCAATTTTTTTGGAGAGAAAATTTTAATATATTTATCTTATTATACATTTCCCTAAATTACAAAGTCAACAGCTGCAAATATATTCTGCTACAAAGCTTTCTGTAAGAAATATCTCTATAAGAAAATACATCTCATTAACATTTCCTGTAAATAAATTACTTCAAATAATAATTTTGAAAGGGTGAACATAAGGGAAATAATGCAGAAACCAGATTGTAAATGTAATTGCTATATAGGAAATGTTTGACTGAAATGTTCCATTTTCATGTCGCTAAGCTTATATAACTTGTTGACACAAAATTTGGCTCTTGGATAAATTAGCTTATAATTTTAGTTTTTGCAGACATGTGCAGAAAATGTAAGTCTTCATCATCCTAGTAAATGTGTGTGGGAAGCTGAAATTCTTAGTAGATATCCATGCTCAGATTCAATTTCTACCAGGAGAACTTAAATTTGAGATTTCAGGTGGGGTTTAAGTAAAAGAAAATTAAGGTGTGACTTGCAGTCTATAATAGTTTAAAATAACAACTATAAGATAACTTTCTTCCTTTTATGCTGTAGACATAATATTTAGAACTGGTTAAAAATAAAAGTAGCAAAGTGGTTTCGAAGAATTTAGAACTGTGGTTTCTATAGGTTAGCAATATGTAGATTTTACAGGTTATTACTTTTTTTCAAACCTCAGTGGCTGCAAAACCAGATACTATATCTTTGGCAATAAAAGGCTGTTGCAGAGAGAGGTTGGTGCAGAAAAATTAGGTAGCAAAATCAGATGGTTTATCGGTTGATTAGAAGCTTAAGAGGACAAGGAACCTCATGCACTGTCTACCTCATGAGTCGATTCTGTGACATACTCATAATTAAGATTCTTTTAGTACCTCAAAAATATAAAATAAATATTTTGAGGATAGGAAGGGCAAGTGAATATGCACTGAACTCATCTGCATAGTAAGGATTCTAATGGAGAATCCCATGGAGAACTTCCATGTAGGTTTGCAGTCTCTGGTTTCAAAGATGAAACTAAGTCAGCTTGTGCTTCAGACATATGATGTATATTTATATAGATCTATGTGTTGCCCAAACCTGGACAATTGACAAAGCTTTCCCCATTTCTTTACTGTGCTTCAGTGCAATATAGATATTACTCAAGTCCCTATTATCAACTTCACTCTAGTCCATTGCAGAGCATGTAAAAAAAGAACCATATTTATCAATCTAATACTATCAAAACTTAGTGTCAAACTTTTCAAAATAATGATGTCTCCATTAGCTTCGTTTCCCACATATTTTGGATATCTTTAAACATTTTGCAATCTGTGAAAACTCTTCTCTGTGCATTTATTGCACTAGTCACAACTAATGAATACAGTTTGGAAAACCAAATGTACTCAGGGTAGGAATCTTATACAATCAGGAGAGATGCCATGTCATTCCTTCAGAATCAAGGAACTGTTTTTTATTTGTGCATTTAATTATACATAAAAGTGGGATTCATTATGCCATATTGCTGCAAGACAGATCATATTAAGGAAATGTTTTTTATTTTATATCAGTTCTTATTAATTACAAGTGAAGTTAAATTTTTGAAAACAATGTAAATAAGCAGTTTGAGGAAGAACAAGTTTGTTTTTTCCAAAGACCTTGATGAAAGATCTGGCGTTATTTTGAAATAATTTGCTTTTTTTTCTTTGTCTACTCAAGGCCTTTAGTTGAGCATTTGAAGTAGAGTAGCAAATTAAAAAGTGATTCTCTTGCAAATTAATTCTGCTTTATGTTTTCAATTCCTGTTTATCTATTCTTTTCGTGTTTTAGAACTTATACATCAATGTAAACTGGGAGTATTTTGTTAAACTAGAACTTTGAAAAGAAATGTGGATTTTAGGTTATTTTTATAGGCAATCACCAACCTGAAGGAACTCTCTCCTCCAGCACAACCTAAACTCTTGGAAATTCATATGGAATTCAGTAATTTCCACTATGTGCTTTTTTCCTTATTAATAGCATTTTCACAACTGTGTACATTATTTACATAAACAAGTTGCATAATGGAAGCCTGCTGGTTGCGCTGAGTTTGACACCCTTCCAATTCATTCAGTCCTCTTTCCTTTCTTTCTTTCTGTGGTCTATATTCTTATCACCTTGTCATCTACACCATTCTTATGCATTCCAAACTTTATTTTCCACCATGCCATAATGCGTTAAATACATGAATTCACAGTCTGCTAGTGGTGATTTTCCTCACTGGTGATCAGATTTTCTGACACACGTGGAGTCTGGCTTTGGAAGAGTAGGTGGCATCCTTCCACACTTTGCAAGACAAGCCTTTTGCACAGTCACACCGCTGGAAAATTTCCAGCCCATGAGAACCCTTCTTTCGCTGTTTGGTACAGACTTCGCCCTGATGGAGCACTGGTTTGCAGATTTTGGTCCAGAAGTGACGAGCACAGCAGAACCCTTCAATGCAGTCTGATGATCGCAGGCAGGGGTCTCCTTCATGCCCTGCAGAGACCACCACCAAAAGATATCACTTTGCAATCTGAAGCACATAAAATACTTTACTTATAGTATCTTATACAATTTACAATGAAAAGTCTTGGATTCATACCATCTGTCTCTACCTATGCTCATATAAATCCATTATTGTCTATTTCCATTATTTGCTATTTGGATATAAAACTTAATGATTAGCCAGGATTGTGCTTCATCTCCCCTTTACTTTATGACGGCCTACTTTTAGATAGTTCCCTGATCATTGACTATTTTTTTTCCTAGAGGGTAAGTAACAAAAATGTAAAATAACCAATCTCAAACTAACTTTGAGATCCACAAAGTAAGTTTGTTCTTCTTGACATATCAGAACAAACTTCTGATTCAAGGAGAAGGCTGAAATGCTCAGGGACTCCTCTTAAGACTACTTATCAATTACAGTCAGGAAAACAGAAACTTTGAGTATTCAAACCAGAAGATATTTTATGCATAGAATTGGTCACACAGTAATGGTTGAGCTAAGAATCACCAGAAGACGGTGAGAAGCTGCTACTACCACATTTAGGCTGGTTGAACCAAAGGAGGAGGTGATGTCAGAATCCAGAGGCTGGATTCAGATGCTAGCCAAGACTGGCATCCTAACAGGCCTACCTGTCAGGAGTTAAAGCGACAAGGAGACACAGCCCTGCCAGAAATACTACCTGAAGCAGTAAAAATGGGAGAATATGTTGGCTCAATGAGCCAGGTGAATCTGACAGAGAGCCCAGGCAATGCAGTCTATAAAGAGCTGCGACACAGAGCAGAGCAGAGAAAGGGCAGTTAATCCATCTGAGAGCAAACAGGCTCCAAGGGGCAACCAAAGACCCCTTATAAGAACATGTGGAACTACAAATCTTAGTATTGTATCCAGAAGTCAGCCAATAGCCCACCCATACATCATGGTTGAATTGATCCGTAATCCATATAAAGCAGGGGTTGGCAAACTTTTCTGCAAGGTGCCATATTGTAAATACATTAGGGTTTTGAGGCCATGTGATCTCTGTCACACTCCTCAGCTCTATTGTTGCTTTGCAAAAGCAGTCACAGAAAAGACTGATATGGACAGACCAATCTGTTTTCCACTGAAACAGGTAGCAGTGCAGAAGGGGATCACAGGACATAGTGAAGTCATCTCCACATCTGAAGGGTTATCTGTTATCCAAGATGCAGCTAGTCCCACTGTGAGATCTGGGAACAACTCATTTGCTATTGCAACCTAAGATTTCTATTTGCCATTCAAAAAATTTCATATATTATTAAATAAAAATTATTAATAATTTTGAACTACTGTACGGTGAAATATATATCTGTGAGAATCAAGAAAGATTCGAATGTAACAGTAAATGGATTTGCTGGAACAGAAACAGGAAAAGAAAATAAGACCTCAATGAGTGTAGAAAAAGATAACTGAAGGGGGATTATTTGTCAGTATGTTTAGCACCATCCATGTCATTAACAGTCTGAGTCAGACTAATGGATCAGAGAGTCTCTGGGATACTAGGTCTACAAAACAGGAAAATGTTTTGTGGTCAAACTATAGAAATACTGTGTTTAAAAAGTTAAAACCAGGTTTTCTCATTGCTAGATTTCTAAGAGACTTTGGTATACCCATGTTTATTATAAATGTCCCAGAAAAGGGAAGATATATTATTATGAAATTCTTTTATACCTAGGGCCCTTTGGTTCAGTAACATTTTGAAAGGGGGTACTCCACAGAATACTCTTTAGAAATGCTTCATTTTATAATGAATATTGAAAGCTTAGGGATTCGAGTTTTCAAAATTTTACTATTAGTCATTCAATCTCAAGAATTTCATAATTTCCAAGCAACTAGGTTTCCAAAGTATTCTGATGCAAGGAAGGGGATCATATGGCCATACAAAATCCCAAAGTAAATCAACAATTTGGGATAAGTTGGTTTATAAATAGCATATCATATGGTTGCTTAGTGAAATGATATTCCTGAATCTGCAAAGGTGAGAAAATGACTCATAAGCTTAGTGATTTAATCACATAGCAGCAAAGGCTATTTATTTTTTTATGTATGTTTGTATAGAATATTTCTCCTAAATTTCATATTAAAAGGAAGGCCTGCTTAGAAAATGATCTGAATCATCAGGGTACTATGATTTTCATAATATTTATTTTCAAACAATTTAAGATTGCTAAAGAAACTCTAGCATCCTCAAAAATAAGAATGAATTCATTTTAAATCTTGCTGTTACTTTTTTCCTGAAATCAATGAAATTAATCACTTATACTTTTCTTTTACTTATTTATTGAAACAAGAAAAAGGAAGCACAGAGGTACAGATAGACCCTACCTTTTATATGTGACATCTTGGTGTGTGGTCTTCCAAGATTCTGCCATCCCAAGTCATGGTTTGAATAATGACCATGGCCTCGGTCTCTATGCCTAGTGCCATCCAGAGCTGGGATGTGAGGGGTTAAGATGCTCTCAGTGACCGGGATGCAGATGCCTGGAGATAGAATGCAGACATTTAGAACAGCTCAGTTCTATAAATTCTATCTGTCTCTCTGCATATTCACTCACTCACTCATTCATTCATTCATTCATTCACTTATTTACTAAGGTTGGGTATAGCATACTTTGGCCCTAGAGCCAGGCTTTCTTAATTTGAATGTTATCTCCTTCAAGACCCAAGTAACCTTGGACAAAAATGAGAATAAAAACAGAATTGGGGCTGGGGCTATAGCTCAGTGGCAGAGAACTTGCCTAGCACAAGTCACATACTGGGTTCAATCCTCAGCACCACATAGAAATAAACAAATAGAATAAAGGCATGTTTTCCACCTATAACTACAAAAGATTTTTATTAGAAAGAATAAAAACAGAATTAACTTCACTGAGTTACAGTAAATATATGCAAATGCTTAAGTTATCTGCTAAAAATTAAATTAATGTTAGCTATCATGTTTTTAAAATCATCTGACCAGATAACCCCCTTGGGGATTCAGGGTTGTTTTTGTTGTTGCTGCTGTTGTTATTAACAATACAATCTCTGTCTAAACTGCAAACTTCTCTAATGGTATAAGCTCTTTCTCCACTTACTTTCTGTGCAAGGTACACAGAGTAAGTCTATGCTAGAGGTCAGAGCATGCATAGTGATATGAGCTGGACTCTGTTATTATGTATGACAAATTATGTTTCTAACTACGTTCTGCTATTAATATTTTTATGTGTTATGATTCTTCATTTAATTATTAATGCTGAATTGTCTACTTCTAACTTCATTGAAATTGGACGAATTCAGGCTAGGGGATAGAATCTCAAGTCTATTTTTGGAGGAATTTTGTCACCATGCCACGTGATATCTTCAACATAAGAACTAAAGCAGGAACTGGCATGAAGCTGGAAGAAGGACTCGCAACTGCTTTACTAAATTACAGCAGTTTACCACCTTCTTTTGCTTTTTTGCACGTATTTGCTTATGTGCTTGGCAGAACAGAATATCTATCTATCTATCTACGTGGCAGTTCCATTTTGCAATATCCTAGATCAGCAAACAGCAGAAAATATAGATGGTGGTCAGAACCTAGAGAAACTAAGATTTCAGAGGTAATCCAGGTAATCTTATACTACCTAAAGCACAGGTATTCAGAAGTCTGAGTAAAAAGTTAGACTAAGATGGGCACAGTGGCACACACCTGTCATTACAGCTGTTTGGGTGGCTGAGGCAGGAGGATTGCAAGTTCAAAACCAGCCTCAGCAACTTAGGGAGGCTCAAAGTAACTTAGAGAGAGTCTGTTTCAAAATTTAAAAAATTAAAGTAAAAGAAGGCTGGAGATGTGGCTCAGTAATTAAGAGCCCCTGGGGTTCAATACCTGGTACTCAGGGATTAAAAAAAAAAAACTAACTTGTAAGACAGTATTCTTACATGAAAACCATAGAGGCCCACGAACACCCAGTGCCATCATTTACCATTATTGCAGCGGTTACCAGGGCAACACATGCCATCTCTATGACAGCGCTTCTTTTTCCTCCGACATGCCATGCAGGCTGATGACCCTTGGTGAGGACTGTGGCAGTATCTCCCAACTTCACATTCCTTATCACTGCTACAAGGATAGGCCTGCAACACAAACAGTGGAACAACACAAAAAAACAAAGGATGAGGTCCTGTTACCCTTATGGTCTTATAAGTGTACCAAATCATCATGGAAACTAAATCCCAATACTTCCCTTCTGAAAAGAAATATACCATTGTAAAAATGTTTGGAACAGAGACCCTCCATAGTGACACTTAATTGAAAACTTTAGAACTATTGATGGTTGATGGTAACAAGGATGAAGGTGACACTATCTATGCATTCTCACTGACCCAATTTGGGGGTTAAGATTTATACTTTGTGCCAATTGGTGAAACTCTTAAGAGTGACTTTGAGGACTCAGAAACAGCCATAATGTTGTATTTTCATTAATTAGTACACATGAAATAGTCATCCCAGTCTCTCCAATTTTCATCCGCTAATGGAAGATGGGGAAGGTAGTGAAACAACAAAGGAATGTCCTAGAAGCTGATGCTCATCTCCTGTCCAGTTAGGAAACAAATACTTTAAGAGCAAGTCCTCACAGTCCCTGCCTGTGAAAAGCAAAAAGGAGAAGTACTTCCAGAATAGTCTGAAACAATGAACTTAGGGCTACAGATAAACCAAGGAGCAGAATCCTTATTCATGCAAAAAAGACTTTCTCTGCCAAGTGGTATATTCTGAAAGCTACATAAGCAGTGTTGGATAATATCTCAAATATATATATATATATATATATATATATATATATATATATATATATATATTTGTGTTTATGTGTATGTATATATATACATACATATATATATACACAATATATATATATGTATTTGTCAATATATAACTGGTATGTGTGTGTGTGTATATGTGTGTATACCAGTTACATGCTCCTTGCCAATTGCAAATTTGGAAACATCTAAAATAACCCTGTTTTCCGAGATTTTAATGTCATACCAATCAAACTTACTCATATTTTAAGACAGAGAAACTTATTTGTAAGACTGTTTATTTTAGGTGAAATTTTTTCCTGATTTTCAGAGTAATACATTACTTTTAATTGAAAAATACAAAATATTTTTTTTCAAAAGCCATGTGCCTATTTTTAAGCAAACATATGTGCTATGAAAATGAAGATATGGATAATTTTTTTGTAACTCTCAAATACTTAGTGTGACCGGATGCCATAATATTAGATTTGATAGCCTAACGTGGTATTCATCGCTCATTCTGCTGTCCCTGTTTTCCCCTTGTCCTCTTTCACTCTCCATTCTTCCAGCACATTTTCTTCCCCTGTCCATCTCATGTATATATGTGGACACATTCATCCCCTACATATTTTCCTTTTGATTCTGATCATATTCAGTTAGAAAGAGGAACTAAAGATGAAGTTTATATGTGATTCTGGGTGAAACAATATATTTGCTCATCATTACAATGACAGGTTAACCCTTAAAAGCATTACACAGAAAAAAGACGAGCTGCAAATCAAAGGGATTGTAAAGAATTGCACAGTGGCCATGTTGAATGCACACATTATAATTGAAATCAGATAGAGCTGTAAAATGAGTTCACATATTATTAGCCCGCTCTGCAAGTCCATCATTAGACTTCACACAATCTGAATGAAGTTGAATTCATAGTACAAGGCCATGTTTCAAGAATCCAAGACTGATGAAAACAAAACAAATGTCCCCTCCCGCCCGCCCTACCACACTCTTTCCCTCAAGCACTTCACCCCTTCCTATTTAAAACCAGTAATTCGAATTGAAATACAATTCACATGTTTCTGATTCATTTACATTTATTTCACCAAATTGTTTTGCAAGAAACATTTGATGTCTTACAAGTTTCTTTCCTCCCTCAAAAATAGGCCATGTTCTGTCAACGGAAATAAACACGTGCCCCCTAATACATCACGTGCTATTTACAACTCCAACAACAAATCATCAGATGATTCTGAATATAGAAGAGTACTTGGCTCCATCCCTCAACAATAGTCTAAATGGTAGAAAGAAAGTTGTTTTTGCTAAAAGTAGCAGTTTGTTTATGCAGAAAATTGTAAAGGGGCATCATCTTTTTCCCATTTTCGGTTGATGAGACATGGAAAATATTGAAGTGACAAATAATTGATGCAGATGACATTAGAAGAGTGGAACACACAGTAGTCTTACTTAAATGGGATTACAGTAAAAGTCTCAAAACCTAATTTTTGAGAGAGAATCCTATTTTGTCTAAGACAGAAAATATATTAGAGGATATGTAGTTTTATTATGTGTCAACATATTTTATTTAGGATAAAGTCAAAAAGACCCAGGCAAAGACAGTACTTAGGAACTCTTTTTAAAAGTAAAACGTTATGAATGTTGTGAACTTGTACTTGGCATTGAATCCCAGAACATAAATTCTAGGGGGGATTTTTTGGAAAATTTCAAAAAGTAAATTTTAATAATTTAAATGCAAAGTTATATTACACATCTTCTAGTACGCTTAAAACTCCTGGCTCCAATAAACAATTTTCATAGATGAATAAAAACAAGAATGAATAGAACAAATTGATAGAAGCAAGTTTTTGGTAAAAGAAGTGATATTTGGAGGCATACTCACTCTCAAAAATCAGTGTCCCCTGGCACAAATTTGCTCAGCCACAAGGCTTTTGTTCATCTGTTTGTTTGATTTTGCATAGCCATGAGCTTAAGAAAACTATGAGAAAGTGCAGATCTAATCAATTAATAAAAATTCTCATGTTATCAGCATTAATGCATTATTTTTCAGTAAAGATTTTTAAACAGGGCATTTTCAACTCAAAAATTACAAGGGCTTGGTTTTTTGCCTGAAAATCCCCTTAAAGTGTGTGGGAATGGTATCACCACAGGACAGTGAGAGAGAGACACAGGAGCCAGGGAGGCAGGCACAGGGTTAACAGTCTTTAGGAGAGACTTGGAGGAGTCAATTAGAGTGGCAATGAATGCACCACTTGATGGGAACTATGTATGTTAATAAAGTTGGCATTTAGGAAATTCTATATGGGGGCTGGGGATGTGGCTCAAGCGGTAGCACGCTCGCCTGGGCCTGGCATATGTGCRGCTGGGGTTCGATCCTCAGCACCACATACAAACAAAGATGTTGTGTCTGCCAAAAACTAAAAAATAAATATTTAAACAATTCTCTCTCTCTCTCTCTCTCTCTCTCTCTCTCTCTCTCTCTCTCTCTCTCTTTAAAGAAAAAAGAAAATTCCATATGGAAAATCCTTATTTTCCTTTAGTTTGTCCTCCAAAGGCTGTTATGTGGTCCCATCTGATGATGGTTTTGTGACAAAAATGAGTTTGAGCCAGGTACTGTGGCAAAAACCTGTCATCTCAAAGATTTGGGAGGCAGAGGCAGGAGGATCACAAGTTCCAGGCCAGCCTCAGCAACTTAGCAAAATAAACTATCTCAAAATAAAGTAGGTTGGCAATATAGTTCAGGGTAAAGCACTCAAGGATTTTCTCCCCAGCACAAAATAAAGACAAAGTGAGTTTGAGCACTAAATTTTCACTTAACAAAATCAACCATCATGTTCATCTGGAACATATTTTAGAAGTGAATAACAAGGCTGATTTTTTTTTCACTTGCTATAAGAATTGACTTTATGGCTGTTCATTTTACTTGGACTATAGGTGAAGAGATTAGATAACTTTTCTTTTTTTGTCTGAGGATCAGTGATGGTCTATGTGAAAGAATGAAATTTAAGTGAAAGAGTTAGGGGAAGACTTCAGAACCTATGTCCCTGCTAAAACATCCCACAATTAAATCAGAAATTCTGCCTTGTGAATATCCAGAGAAATTTAGCTTCATGCAAAATAACCCATTAACCAGCCTTGATCACAGTGAGAAGAAAAATTAATTTGGGACACGTAATAATAGCAGAAGATTAGCCATAAATTAAGAATGTATGAGAGCTGCCTGTGATCAGGCCAAAAAAACAAAGTTTGTCCAACCCCCCCTTCCAGGCTAAAAATAATGTGGTTTCCATAAATAGCAGTGCTAGTGATCATTACAACCATGACATGAACTAAAAAAAGAGAGAACACATTGGGCACAGCTTGAAAATAAAGTCTATCAGAAATTAGCATTTCTTTTTAGTAGAAAGTATTTCTTTTAAGTCCATTTCCTCTGTGCCAGTTTGAAGTCATTATTCAAAATTTTAGCAATGAAGCAAAAGAGAATCAAGTAATGCACTCAGTGGCAGAGAACTGGGGGATTCTGAGCCCTGTCCTGGCTTTTAGGTCCCAGTGTGTCATGACAGAGCGTTTCCTAGGGAGGGCCTGACGTTCATAGAGACAAAGGTGATTGAGTGGAGTCGTATGGGCCAGATTTAGAGATTAGAGAAATAAGCTTGGCCACATCTCTTTCTAATACCAACAGCATGTCCTGCTGCAGCTGTTGGAAAGACAGAATACTGGTGGGAATCTCTGACAATGCTGTAAACAACACTTCTCGTTCCATTTCTTGACAATAGTTTTATGTCCATTTAAACTCAGTGTAAATCAGAGTTAAAAGTAGATGCTAACCATGCAAATCATGATAATTAAATGATATTCTAATAAGCAAAGTAAAATGAAATGTAGTTGATCCATTTCATTTGAAGTAATTGGTCTTTATTTCCCCAGTTATTCTCAAGACAGACAATAGACTAAATCAAACATAACTTTCCTGTGTGCATATATGAATACATGAATAGTGAAACTCCAAATCATGTACAACCACAAGAATGGGAAGTTGTACTCCACGTATGTATGATATATCAAAATACGTTCTACCGTCATGTATGTCATGTAAACCTAAAAAGAATAATAACAACAACAACAACAACAACAAAAACTGCAGGTAAAAAAAAAACCTAGTAATTCAAGGCTTACATTTAGGATTTAATTTATTCTTATTTTTCAGCAACTAATTGTCCCTTAGAATTTGCACATGCAGCGAAGTAATCAGATCCCCAAGAATAATGAGATGAGGAAAATTGTTTCAGATATCTCAACAGCACTGAGCCCTAAATAGAACT